GACTGAGCCACACAGGCGCCCGTTTTTATTTTTTTATTTTTATTTAAAAAGATGTGTATTTATTTATTTTTGAGAGAGAGAGAGAGAGCACATGCACACAAGCAGGGGAGGAACAGAGAGAGAGAGACACACACACACACACACACAGAATCCAAAGCAGGCCCCAGCCTCCCAGCTATCAGCATAGAGCCTGATGCGGGATTCGAACCCACGAACTTTGAGATCATGAGCCAAAGTCAGATGCTTAACCGACTGAGCTGCTCAAGCACCCCATATTTTCCTGTTTTTAATCTGTAGTTACCTTGAGCTCTGTTCACAGATTTACCACCAGCTTCCTGTCCTCAGATTACAAGCCCCACAAGACTAGGAACTTTGTGTTGTTTGCCTCTGTATCCTCAGCACTTAAAACAGTGCCTGGCACGTAGTAGGTGCTCAGTAAATACTTGCTGAATTAATCAGTTAATATAGAAAGAATGTTTCATTTAGCAGAAGCACCTTGCACAGAATAAGCTGGTGATAGATAAGAAGAAATGTTACTGTCAAAACAGTGGGGGGATGCAGGGAAAAGATGTGCTGGCATTCTGCTCGGGGGTAGAGCGCCACCTGTGCTCTGTGGTTATCTGGTTGCCAGAACTAACTGAGGCAGGCGGGGCAGAAGGAACCATCAAGGGAGTCAGCGGAGCTTTGCTGTCACGATCCTGGGTGCCTATGGCGAGAGGTTCCAGGCTGACTGACCCGGCAGCACCAGCCTGTCTCTTCGGCAGCTAGGCTTACAAAACAGTCACTACCCGGAAAAGCCTTGCCAGAACCTTCAGACTTGCCAAGGTCTTGGTATCCTTCCCACAAACATTTGCCCAACTTTCCTTAGCGTTCAAGGGATTTTATAAAGTTCTCGTTGAAATCAAGACACCAAAAGAGAGGTGGATGGATGGATGCAGAGGGAATACATACCGACCTGTGTAGGGGTATAAATGGTTGTCCATGGAGAGTTTGAAGTCAAAAAAGTACCAGGTGGGAGACGGGGTGGGGGGGGACGCGGAGGGGCCTGGACCCCTTATGACAGAGGTGTCTTTGGAGAATGCGGGGAGTCCTGAGGACCCATAGACGCTGTCGTGGTCGTCCCTCATGTGGGCATGGGCCATTGAGCTGTGCACCGTGGTGTGGTGCACCTGGCTTATTACAGCCCAGGCCTTCACGTGCCAGGTGCTGGATGAAGGGAAGGCTGGGCCTGCTGGAGCCTTCCAGTAGCACCAAGCTGACGGCCCCTGGAATAGGCCTGAACTCCCGAGCAGGGAAAAGCCAAGGTCACCGCAGGAGGGGAACCGGGTGACTGGTTCTGTGGGTACTCATTTGCGTTTGCTTTTCTTCACAGCTTGGGAAACAGAAGAAAAAGTACATGCCATACAACCACCAGCACAAATACTTCTTCCTGAGTGAGTGACCTCCGGCGACACAGGGGGACTATCTCGGGACGGGGGTGCCAACGGGATTGTGGGGAAGAAATGACTTTGTGGAGGTTTACGGCATTTTGAGTAATGGCCGGGGGAAGTCCCGTGTCCCCAGCTGGTTCCTCCCTGCCTGGGAGCCAACTGTCGTGTCACCTGAGCAGGGACAGCAGGCATTTGTGTTAGGGGCAGACTTGTTCCTCCAGTCCCACCCTGGCTTTCACAAGACAGTTGAATAGTCAGGTGCAATTGTCCCAATTAAACCTTAAACTTTATCTTAGACCTTGTGAAACAGACGCACGTCAAGGTGACTCAGTGGGGCACAGTCCTAACACCCAGGGGGATAAAAGGTAGACGTGGCTATGGGAGCGGAGGAGCAGTGACAGTGGAAAAGGAGGACATTTTCTGCAGCCCGTCTTAAGCTCTTTCTGAAGACTGCGCTATGTTCTTTGCTTTTAAAATCTCCATAATGCCTAAAACTGGAGTTTTAGAATTCCTTGGAGAATTCAGATTTTTAAAGGAAGGGAGAGGAGGATTCCATCGATCCTATTTTAGCTCTAAAGAACTTATCCTAAGTGCCTATTACGAACCTTCACTACTGGGGAAGAATGTTAGAATCCATGGCACATCGGGGTAGAGGAGCCGCGGGTGAGCCCTGTCACGCAGGGGGTTATAGGTAGGCATCAGGGCCCTGCAGAGAAGGGATACAGAAAAGGAAATGGGACAGCATATAGGATGGGGCCGCTTCTTCAACTCCCACTTTTAAGAGAAGCTTCTCTGCCCCTTCCCACCCCTGACCTCCAGGGCTTCGGGTTCAGTGGCATGGGCTCGTTTCCCTAGTCCAAGGGAGTGAGCTTTCAGCCTATGAAGCATCAGCAGGGCCCCCCACCCCCACCCCCACCCCCAGCCCGGCACAGACACAC